GCTGTGTGGGAACTGTCGGGATCCCTCGCTCCTGCCCTGGGCTTTACCCAGTGTGCCACTGGCCATCCTCCAAATATGCTGCAGTTTCCTGCTCTTATACCTTAAGCCATTCCCGCTTTTCTCGTTCGCCTTGGCTCGGGCTCTGTCACCTTCTCTCACCCCACTTGGACATTTGTCTAAATCCACCCCTCCGATGGGTCCATTTCAAGTATCCCCCTCCCAAACCCTGCTGGGGTCCCTAGGTGGGCAGTGCTCTCTCCGTGGCTTGCTGAGCCGTGGGTGGGAGAGCTGCTCTCCTGGGCCCCCAGCACCCTGGGTGCTACATCCATTCTTGCTCTGGATTCCATGGCTAAAGCACCTCTTCCTCCAGAGAGGAAGTCTGGATTCCAGGATTATCTGGCTCAAGGCCTCATGAGTGACATGATGCTTGTGGCCTCTGGGAAGGGGCTCAAAGTTGGGGCTGGGTGGCTTTGGATGAGAGTTTCAGGCTGATGGAGACAGAAGCACGTACCATCCTTCCAACGATCTCAGCAGAGAAAACCTCTCCAGATATGCCCGTGTGCTGACACACTCCCTGAGGCCACAGGACCAGAGCACTGGGCACCAAACACAACTGAGCCATAAACCAGCAATGAATTTTTGGCTAATTAGGCTGATGTTTAAATTCATTTCAAAATAAAAGTCAACATGCTGACATTCTAGATGGCTTCATTTTAACTGAAGCCATTGATTAAAAGTCCACTTAGACCCTCTAGATACGGTTTTCTAAAAGTCATGGGGTGTTTTTGCATCAAAAGCATGTGGTTTCCTCCTGGGGCTTCAAAGTCATCATTTGTAGAAGAGGAGCTTGTTGGCCTAAGACCAGCAGTGTTCTTGGACCTGAGCTGCATCGAATGTTCTGTAGGGCTTGCTAAAACTTTGATGGCTAAGCCCCACCTGAGTTTCTAGTCAGTAGATCTGCAGGACAGTGAATGGGACCCAAGAAGGTGCATTTCTAACAAGTTTACCCATGATGCAGAGGCTGGTGGTCTAGGAGCCTCACTTTGAAAGCCCTCACTCTTAAACAACACTGTGAAGTAGGACCCCATTGGGTTTCCAAGAAGCAGAACCCGAGGCAGGGATTGGGGGGGCATGTGGGAGAGGGTGCTGTCCAGGAAAGGATTGTGAGAGAGTTAAGGAGCCCTGATGGGGTCTCAGGTACACTCTGGCCCTTGGGTTACACTCGGAGCATAAATAATAGAGCTTCCTGGCTTTTGTACCCATTTCTTGCCCTCCCCCCCGCACCCTGGGCGGTGGGCAAACAGAGAGAAAGGCATAGCCTCCCCAGAAGATGGTTCTCAGAGAAGAGTAAAGCTGTGAATCACTGACAGCTATCCTCCCAACAGCTGGGGGATAGGCCAGCCCGCCACAGCAGGACATGAACAGAGACAGCTCCAGGTTCTAATTTCGTCGAGGGGAAACCAGAATCAGTGAGGTTATGTGACCTATACAAAGCGACACAACTAGAATTCGGCCCCGCCCAGGGTTGCTGGATTTCTGTGATGACATACACTTGTCTGGTGTATGTCCTGCAGGGGCTCAGGGCCTGCCCACCCTCTGCCAGTTTCCTTTTAACCAGGACAATTTCTTGATGTAGAGTGGACTTCAGCTGCCCCTGTGAGAGGTCAGGGCCAGACCAGCTCCCACTGTGGGGCGAGGGAACAGACCGGTCTGGACCCCTCCTGTCCTTACACCAGGAGCAGGACCAAGGCCAGGTGCAATCCATTCTGGCTAATGCGTTTTCTGTATTGGAGACATGAACCCTTTTCCCATGAGAGTGATGGATCCCCACTGCTGGAAAAGCCAAAACTTTTGTTCTTGCTCACCTGCCCCAAGTGTCCCCCCTGCTTTGCCTTCCTCAGAGATGCCAGCGCAGGTCACCTGATGGTGGGAGCCTTTACTGGTGGTGACAGTTCTGTGGTCAGGTGGGAGGGCTTGTGTCGTTACCACATGCTGGGCACTCTGCTCGGGCCTTGCTATTCATCATCTCATTATTTCTTATCACCACCCTAGGACATGAGAAAATAAAACCCTGACAATTTAAGTAACTTACCCTAAATTACTTAAATTGACCAAGTGGTTAGTGGCAGAGATAGATTTGAATCAGGGTCTTTCTTTCCCGGATTCTATGCTTTTAACCACTCCAGTAACTCACCTCCTCGCGTCCTTTGAGGTCATTATGTCAGGCATCCTCCTGTGTGGCTTTAGTCCTACCTCATTTTCACTCAGAACTAGGTTCATGGCTCCAAGTTCCAAGTTTACTGGTTTTGGGAATTCTCACACATATTGAACATTTTCTTTTAATGTTGCCATTATGTGGCTCATAAGTTTTTGCTTCCTTTCTTTCAATAAATAGCACATTGTAAGTGCTTACCCTTGTTTGCCACATAGACTTTATAGTTGTTGTTTTAAAGGCCTTACATTTCATTCAATGCATCTACCTCAGTCTCCCCAACTAGTCTGTGATGGGCATAACAGTGGTGCCCCCAAATATGTCCATGTCCCTAGAATCGGTGGACATCTTACCTTTCATGGCAAAAAGGACTTTGCAGACTGAAGAACCTTGAGACGGGACAGCTCTCCTGGATGATCCGTGGACCCGATCTAATCACAAGGGTCCTGGTAGGAGGGAAGTGGGAGGCTCAGAGAGAGAAGGAGAAGAGATGGTGGAGGCAGAGTTTGAGTGACGTGGGGCCAGGAGCCAAGGAAAGCCGGCTGCTTCTTGAAGCTGGAAAGGCAAGGAGACAGACCCTCCCTAGAGCCTTCCGAAGAGTGCAGCCAGCTGAGACCTTGACTTGAGCCCTGTGAGACGTGCACTAGACATCTGATGTCCAGAGCTATAAGGTATCACATCTGTGTTGTTGGAGCCTCGAAGTTGGTGGCCACTGATGTAACAGCCACAGGCCACTAATGCCACAGGCCCCTGCTTGTCTGGCCCTGGTGCTGTCCCTCCTCCCCACAGGGGTGAGGCCACTTCCCCGGAGCTGATGTTGATCCCATGTCATCGTGTTCTGGGCATTGTGTGCATTGTGCTGAGGGCTAGTTAGTTAGGTCAGTTGAACTTACCCAGTCCCTCTATAAAGTTGGCTCCCTTGTCACCCCCACTTCACAGCAAGGAGCCAAGGGATGCTGAGTGACTTGCCCAAAGTCACACATGTAGCTAGAGACTCTGGGACTGAGTGCGGTCTGATGCTAGTGACCATGTGGGCCTGGGGTGGGAGGTGGTGCCGCTTTGGTGACGCTCATGAACAGTCATAAGCAGTGTGGTTTATCAGGCATTAACCCCAGGTCCCACCCCAGGGCCACCTACTTTACACACACGAGCCTCAGTGCCTCAGTGACAAGGCTGGGCAGGAGGTGTTCTTCTCTGCATTTTATGGCTAAAGAAACTCTGAGAAGATGAATAACTCATCTGCTGCATCTGAATTTGGGGCTAGGCTGGGCTGGACTGGGCTGCAGCCTGGGTTTCGCTGGCCCCCAGGCCGGTGCTGACTTTAGAGTTCTTGACACGATGCTGCCTGACTAGAGCCAGGAGATTTCCATCTTCATCAGCTTTATTGTCAGCTCATCGTGACGTATTGACTCTGCACAGAAATCCATGAGATCTTTCAGGTCTTATATTTGCACTTCATGGAAAGTAATCTGTGCACATCATCTGGGATGACTATCTCTGTCACTCGGTAATGGGCAGAGACGGAGGCACAACCACATGTATGGGGTGGGGCTGATGGGGGCTCTGTCGTCACCTAAGGACGAGGTGAGACATGAGCAGGCTTTGGATGGGTCAGTAGAGGCCCTTGAAATTCCTGCAAGCCATGTCCTGACCCCTTTGCTAACCTGCCAAACATAAAAATACTATAGCGTATCATTTGCCCCATAAAATGCTTTGAGTTATTTTAAAATGCTTTGAATTGAGTTATTTGAATTATATGTAAATTTTTAATGAATGCTTCTCATGAGTTGATGAAGACAGGACTCTAACTTAGGGAGGTGCTTCTTAAATCTCCTTTTTCTCGTCACCAGCCCTAGCTGTTGGGGAACCATTCCTTGTAGGCTCTGGAAAAGTCACTTTCCCCAAAATATCTGCATTTGGAAGTCAGCATTGTTACCAGGACTCCAGAGACTGGGCCACACAAACACTCCTTTTTACTCCACCTTCCTGTGTTTGTAGACATTCCCGCATTAGCAACAGGTGCCCAGGTGGATCATAGTGCTGCTGAGTTGTGGATTCTATCCAGGGCTCCATGAGGAGTGCAGGGTAGGTTTGGTGGATCAGGAAATTCCACATTATCTATCCTTACGAAACTCATGGGTGGTGGGGCCGGAACAGGAATCCAGTTTCAAAATTCTTGGCCGCCTGCTGTGTGCCCTTGGACCTGATGGATATCCTGGGCCATCAGGGTGGTAGGTGTCTCTGTGGAGGGCTCTCCACAGTGTCTCCGTTATCCCTGCAGTATTATCACAAAATTATCCCCAGCTATTCCAAAGCAGCTTCAATCTCCGTGTCTGGGCCACGCATGGCTCCTTTAAGCACTGTTGTGTTAAGAGATTGGATGGAAGTTGGTCTTATGTTTCAACCTTTCTTAATTCTAGTGGTGTTGGGAACCTCTTAGATGTGATTTTCTCTCCTGCTGGGTGTAAACTCGGGATGAGGCAGAATGTGAGCAGTCCAAACTTGTTCAACTATTACTGAATCTAGGAACATAAACAACTGCGTGAAAGAAGGAATCTTGCAGCCTAATTGTAAACTAAAGAATAGTAAAATCACGGAGCCTAAACCAGGGGATGGAATGAATGAGGGAAATGTTGTACAAGGTTTTATCATGGACCAGAATATACCAGATTCATCCTTGGCTGGTACAGTACCTAACTAGGTGACGTGGAACTTTATAGTAGAGTTATAGATTCCATCTTATCCTTTCATATACTAAAAAGTAGCAATATTATCTCCTTTTGCCTAGGATTACGGGACAACCAGTACAGTACAAACGATCAAATTGCCTTTAAAAATCTTCAGTCTGATGTTACAGAGAAGAAATCTGACTTCACCGAGGTAACATATTTCTAACTTCTCGAGTAGTCGGCAAAATGCAGCCAACTATAAAACATGATCATTGGCCTACTTATGATGTGTTTGCATTTTATTTTGTTTAGTCAAAACTGAATTAAGGCAGCAGAAGATCTAACCATCGATGACTAAGACTTGTTACATTAAAGGATGCACTGTATATTTAATTATTTTATAATCTTCACCAACAATTTGTAAATTTACAGTATCATAAGAGAGTACAGTGATTGAGTCTCAATTTTAAACCAAAATTAATCTGCCAGAGAGAGACAGAATGATGCCATGCAACATTTCGAAGGTAGAGAAGAGATAATTGGAAATCTAACAAGCTGGTATACATCGTTGTATCTGCGAAAAGCATCAGTTGTCTGAAATAGGGAGAAAATTAGAGGTCGTATTTATAAAATGAAATGTTTCTGATCCCAGAGAACAAAGCACTCTGTACAGGGTGGTTAATATTGCCAGTGTGTCACACACCAGGTTCTGGCTAATTGACTCATTGCATCTTTCCCACGATCCCGGGAGGGTGGTATTATTATTATACCCATTTTGCAGGCGAGAAAAGTAAAGCTCCAGTAGCTCCCTCCGGTAGTTGACTTGCCCTGAACCTCCCAGCTCATAAGCTGTCGGGCTCCAGAGCTTCTGTTCTTATCTTGCTCTAAAGGGCTGGCATAGAGGAAGGCCCAGTTAACAGATCTTAAAATGTGGACTTCCCTGCCTGAAAGAATCATCCAGGGTGTCGTCTTTCACAAATGGATAATCTGCCACCACCTTTTGTAGTTCTAAGAGATTGTGGGATTAGAAGAGTCGATGTCTCATGACAGATTAAAGTGGCAAGGGTATCTGTAAAAAAAAAATCCTCCCCCCAAAATGGTTGTCTTAGGTATTATCCTTTGATTTAGCTTTGCATTTCATGAAGCTCAGAGACCCCAGGCCTGAACTTCCACACGATGGAGAAAGGATGCTAATCTGGGTGTGAGATCTAGTCATCAGTACTTAAAATACTTGCATCAGGCCCTTTCTGTGTGGAAGCACCAAGCTCACTCTCTGAAGATATAAAGATGCCTGGCTGTGACTCATCTGTTTCTGGGGAGCAGGAGAAGGAATGTCAGGTTGCAGGGAAGGAAATGAGCAGGAGGAACAGTGGATCCTTGAGAACCACCCTTGGGAGGAGGTACCCAGTTAAGAAGGGCAGGATAATGATGAAATTGATTGCTACTCTTTTTATTTTTTTTTAAGATTTTATTTATTTATTTGAGCGAGAGAGCGAGCATGCGAGAGTGAGCACAGGGAAAGGGAGAAGCAGACTCTCTGCTCAGCAGGGAGCCCGCACGGGGCTCCATCCCAGGACCCCGGGATCATGATCCCAGCTGAAGGCAGACGCTTAACGACTGAGCCACCCAGGTGCTCCGATTGCTGCTCTTTTTAAGAAAGATACCAGCTGAAGATCTTTCCCACCTGTTTTTCACACTGAGCTGGCAAATTCCAGCATTTTCCTGTTGATGTTAAAATTAATCAGTTTGATTATTAGTGATAAAGATCTTTGGGGCCACGTAGCTGGGTCTCTAGAAAACACACACACACACACACACACACACACACACTGTCATTTTCTGTGACTGAACTCCCAGAAATCACGCCTTCTAAACATCTGCTTTGGAATGATCTGGACTGTCTACTTTGATCATATCAGTAGTATGACTTTCAAATTTCCCTCCTAACTTTGAGCTTTTAAAGCTTGTCCCTGTGTGTTTGTTATAAGGATGCTGTAAGATGATGAAACACTCCGAATGGATGCCCTTCCTTTGTAACTGCCATAAATCTCCGCCTCTCCTCTGGAGCCAGTGGAAGATTGATCACTTTTCCTTTCAAAATTCGTTGAAGCTGTAGAAATGATATGCAGGCACTTCTTCAACCAAGTGATTATTTAAAAGGAATGAAATATGGAACAGAGTTTTCATCTTTGAAAAAACAATGTTTAAATTTTCCTGATCACAAAAGTAATGGCAGTTCCATGTAGACACTTAGGAAAATATAGGAATATATAAGGAAAAAATATTTATATATATTTCGTTCCCTTATTTTTCCCATGCAATTTTTTTTACGTAAAACTATAATGTATATCAACTTTTATAGCTCTCTTTTATTACATAACATTCCATCACAAGCAATTTCCCATGGCATTTAAATTCTTTGTAATCTTTATTTTTAATTTCTACAGAATACGATGCAGTTGTGCCTGCTGTGATTTACTTACCCGATCCCCTTTTAAAATACATTTGGATTCTTTCCAGCTTTTCACTGTTATACATGACACTGTACCGAGTCCTTTGGTTTCTTGTAAGTGCATGGAAAAAGACAAAAGTTTCAGGACGGAGATGGAGAAAACCTCCAGTTCTTCCATTTGTCTCAAAACAGTCTTTCCCTAGCGCTACATACCAGAGTGAACTCTTACATTCAAAAATACTCTTGCATGCATGATGAAATGCCACAAGGTTGACAGATTGCTTAGTGGTGATGATGCTGGGTGGACTAAAAAGGGAAGGGGACTGTAGAGAGTATCTGTGCAGACATGGGGCCAAGGCATCCATCTGGCAAACATGGTTGTAGGCTGCAGAGCGACCGGGGAAAAGGGAAGACTGGTCAAGTGGAGAAAAATACAGATTTCAAAGCCACAGGTTGGATTAGATGCTTATCCTTTGGAGAAATAAATTGCTACAGAAATGGAAGCATTCTCATCCCAATGGCTCAGGATCTGATTTCTCTGACCATCCGCCGCCTATCTCTTTCTTCCTTCGATTTATGAAATGGTGCCTTTATAGTAATATGCCTTAAGGCATAAATATAAAGTTAAAAACAGTCAATAAAATGCATAAAACTAGGAAAGCAGTTACCAGCCCCACACAATCATGTTTGAAACATTTAAAAGAAATCAATATCTCAAAAGCAGCATTTATGAGAAAGAAAATGTACACAGGTGAGTGTTGTATGAGGATGGTCAGGAAATGGGTGATTTATTGCCAAAGCAAGACATGACATCCCACTATTCGTTTGACCTTCCTCTGACCTTGAATGTTCTACTTTAAAAGCAAGATTATTTTCTTTTCAAATCAAATCTTCCATCAGTTAATCTTATTTTAGATAAAAGATACTCTTTTTCTTTCTTTTAAAGATTTATTTATTTATTTGAGAGAGAGAATGAGATAGAGAGCACATGAGAGGGGGGAGGGTCAGAGGGAGAAGCAGACTCCCCGCCGAGCAGGGAGCCCGATGCGGGACTCGATCCCGGGACTCCAGGATCATGACCTGAGCCCAAGGCAGTCGCTTAACCAACTGAGCCACCCAGGCGCCCGATACTCTTTTTTTTTTTTTT